TGCAGGACCCTGGGCCTTTGGAAACTAAGACTAACTTCGATGGAAACTGAAGTAGCAGAATGCAAGGACAAAAGGAATGAGAAATGAATGCCAAAATGGGTTTTTTGGTCTCTACTCTTTCCAAGAGTCACAGTATACATTCTGGGATTTTGGAATTTCCACAGAGATTACTTTCTGAATGAAAGAATATAAGTGATAACAGAAAGAACTGTAGTAGGCCCAGTATTCTGTGGGACTGTGGTACCAGTGGCTCCAAGGATGTTGCTAGTTTTCAGATTGGGAACTTACCTAAAGATTGATAACTTAACTACAATCTGCCATCTTTTATTTATTTACAACTTTCTTGAACTTCTTTATACATTTTATTTTGTAATCTTCTGCTTTATATCCATTTGTCCAAATACTCTAACTGCAAATTTCCAGAATTTCTTTGTTTACAAGATAATTAAAGTAATGATTTTAAAAAATCCTTTTTTTTTTTTATCATTCATTAAATCATTTTTTGAACAAATACTTATTCAGCAATCAGCATGTGTCAGGCTCTGTTCAAGACCCTGAAGATACATTAGTAAAAAAACCAGATTTCTTGTCTCATGGAGTTTAAATTCCAGTAAAAAAGAGAGGTCATAAAAAGATACTTAAAATCACCAGAGATTTATCAAGTACACGTTTAGAGAACCAACAATTGATAGATTTTTATCTTTCCTACCATGGTCAATCAGTTTATGCAGCATCACAGAAAGATGACTCTGCACAGACAATTGACTCAATCTCAAGTTATTCAAATAGGACATAAGAGTTTCTTGACAGGAAGGGTGTACAGAATGCCCCAGTTAAGTGTAAGTAGACAGATGGTGGGGAATTGCAGTCAATAACCCAAGGATTCCTTGGTTTCTAGATTTTTTTTCTGTAATCTTATTTTGATTAGATGAAATTGTCTTTTTTCAAGCTTGCATATCACTCAACCAACACAGTAGCCCCTTTTATGAAGTTTCCCAGTGAATATAGTCCAATTCTTGACTCATAAAAAGCAGCAGCTGTAGGCCATATGCAATATAACTTTGTGTAAACATATCTCTGACAATTAATTGATAATTAACAGGGTACACATGTCCTCAATAGAAACTCTATACACAACCCTACCTCTGGAGGGTTGGCCTGAAGGTACCAGAGCAAGCTGAATCTCCCATACAAACTATCCTTCTCTTCTCATGTAGCAAGGGACCCAGAATAGCAGTCCACTCTGAAACATCAGCAGAAAAATTTGTAAATGAAAAGACAGCTCATGGGGTCCTACATACATAATGACAAACAGCTAAGCAGATTGGTACCATTATAAATTTTAGATAAGCTTTAATCATTCCTCCACATTTATTTTACTTGACCTTGGTGTGGTAGGCTGAAGACTGGCCCCCCAAAGATGTGTACTTTTAATCCCCAGAACCTCTGAATATGTTACTGTGCATGGTAAAAGTACTTTGTAGGTGTGATTAAGTTAAGTATCTTGAGATAGGGAGATTATCCTGAATTATCTGGGTGTGCCCACACAATCACAAGGGTCCTATAAGAGGAAGGCAGAATGATCAGAGTGAAAGAGAAAAGGTACAAAGATGGAAGCAGAGGTAAGAGAGGAGGAGAGAAGATGCTACTCCACTGGCTTTGAAGATGGAGGAAGGGGCCTTCAGCCAAGGAACATAAGGCAGCCTCTACAAGCTGGAAAAATCAAGGGAATGAATTCTCCCCTAGAACCTCCAGAAGGACGTGCAGGCCTGCCAATACCTTGACTTTAGCCCAGCGAAATTCGTTTTGAACTTCTGACGTCAAGAACTGTAACATAATAAATCTATGTTGTTTTAAAACACAAAGTTTGTGGTAATTTGTTAAAGCAGCAACAGGAAACTAATACATTTGGTCATATCCTATTCTTCTCAGCTAATGTCCCAAACTGTTGCCATTCTTCCCTGTTCCACTCCTTTCCCCATTCCATACAAAACAATAACTTCTACTTCATCGAGATAATTGAGGTAAGCAGACATAAATGATTTCTTTTTATGCCCTTACAACTAAATGTATCCATCTATACCCACATCTTTGTCTGTTTATCTTTTGTCATAAAAGATGACATGCCTTTCTTCTCCACCTGCATTCTTCATTGTATGTAATCTTTCCATTTCCTCATGGACCGTGCATGGAATACTACTTAGCAATAAAATGGAAGAGACTATTGATACATACAGTGTCTCAAAATGGACATGTCTTAAAATTATTAATCTATATAAAAGAAGACAGACCCAAAAAACTCCATACTGAATGATTTTATATATGTAAAATTTTAGAAAAAGTAAAGACATAGTGACAAAAAGCAGATCAATGGTTGCCAGGGGTTAGGAGCAGATGGATGGCACTGACTGAAATAGGGCATCAGGGACCTTTTCAGGATGATTAAAATCTTTTATATCATGTGTGATAGTGTTTATAATATGGTTTACATTTAAAAAAAAAAAAACTGAGCCTCAAAACAGCACCTTCACCAAGAAAAGCAGTTGACCTCTGGCAATACGGTGATTACACAGGACCGCTTCCATCATTTAGGAGTTAGTAGTGTTTTCTTCTCATACGAACAGACTTGCAGAGTTTCTTTCAGCTTCACTATTCACTGATTTTTAGAATTCTTTTCAATAGATAAATGTATCCCACACAACATCAATCCCAGCCAGAAGACACATTTTATAGTGAAGAAAATTGTGGTAGTGGGCTTAAGACCACTCAATTTATTTATCTCATCAATTGATTCCAACTCATGGCAACCCCATTATCCATAAGCAGTTGACCTGATAAAATTGTAGAATGGCCTGCTGAAATCTAAACACCAGCTAGAGGATAACCTCTGAGTGGTTGGAGTGCTGTCTCATAAAATGAAGTATATGCTTTAAAATAGTGGTCAATATATGATGCTGTCCCTAAAATAACCAGAACGCAATGGTGGCAAACCAGGAGATACAGGTGGAGTGGCTCCTTTCGTGATTACACTAGTAACCCACTGAAGAGTTTTTGCTACCCATGCCCACATTCTTGGTTTTGGCTGATTTATAGTTGCCAGGCCCAAAGAAGGAATGCCTTCATGGTGGTCTTGAACCACTCATGATCCTAATGAATTGGAAGTAGAAAACTACTCACAAGTATTGGAGTCTTCATATTACTGAATCTGCAGGCGGACAATGGGAATCACTCTATAGCCTGAAGTGATAAGTTCTGATTCCAAGGGCAAATTAGGTTGCTGATACAACTAGGGGTAAGTAAGACCAGGTTTAGAACCAAGAGGAATCCACTGGGATATCTTATGACACTTCCTTTAACAATAAAAAATCATTTGCTCACAACCTGATTCCAACTCATGCAACCCCAAGTGCGTCATAGTAGAACTGAGCTCTGTAGGGTCTCAGTAACCGATTTTTTAGGTGTAGATAAGCTAGGCGTTTCTTCCGAGGTGCCTGTGGGAGGACTAGAACCCCCAACCTTTCAACTCACAGCCAAGTACATTAACTGTTTAAACTACCCAGAAACACCTCCTTTAACAATAACCCTGCTCAAACGGAAACTGCAGAAATCCAATTAAAAAAGTATTACCAAGAACTCAAATCTGATAGGAAAGAAATTTTAGGTCACCACGCCAGACAACACAACAACATACCAGGTAAAGAACCCCATCCAAATGAGGCGCTGGCAGAAGATAAGAAAACCATGAAAGGGTTGGGAAAAGAAAGAAGCTATGATTATCAACTTAGGTCCAGCGACCAGAATCAGGAACTATAGCAGCTATGTTTCCTGTTAATTGTTTGCTTTTTATCTGTTTCTCCCTCAGCTTCCTTAGGTAAAGAGTCCTGGTGGGAGCTATTATTTTAGATATCAAGTAGAAGTGTGACCTAATTGATATCACATTGCTATGACTAAGTTGCTAATGAAGCTTTATGTGTTCCCTGTATAGGGGGACTTGAATTAATCACCAGAAAAAGAACAAGTGGATCCTGAGGGTAAAAGCAGTATACTTCAGCTTATGTTTGCCATTTCAGACCTAGTCTCTATCCTTTCCACCTTCAAATGTGCCTCAGAAAGCTGACTTTTATACATTGTATCAATATGTTCTCTTGTTCTCTGGCTTCTAATTGAAATACAATAATAGACAATAAGCTTTAAATATTTATTTGCAAGACTTCCTCACCTCCGTATACCTACATCTGGCGGCCTTCTATGCAGAGCTACCCACTCCAGGTTCCATTTCCCCACTCTTGGTCCTTCAGGTGGAGGACTGGTAACAGCTCCTCACTCTTGCTAGCCCTGGGACGAGTTACTATTTCATGCTGGTTCCCAAAATCCTCTCTTCATTTTTGTAAGGGTGTATCCTGATAGAATTGATCCTTATGTTTCTAAGAAGAGTGTGAGAAGGACACCACAGGCCATATGTTCTGCTTCACTTGACCCATGCTCTCCACTACTCACATCAAGCATACACACACACACACACTCAGACAGCATCTAGCTCACAGTAAGTGATTAATGTTTGTTAATGGAGCACTGGAGGTACAATGGTTAAGTGCTTGGCTGCAAACCGAAAGTTTGGTTGTTCGAACCCTCCCAGTGGCTCTGCAGGAGAAAGACTTGGCGATCTGCTTCCATAAAGATTACAGCCAAGTAAAGCTTATGAGACAGTTCCACTCGGTCACACTGGGTCACTATGAGTCTGAATCAACTCGACAGCACCTAACAGAAACGTTTTCAAATTTTTGATCATTTGATGATACAAAGAGATTCAGAAATACAAAACAATAAAAGGTTGGAATAGGATCTGGGATAGATAGATAGTAACATACAGCAAAATTAAAAAGATAGATTTTACAAGTTTCAGGGTTTATTAATTTATGAATGCTTCTCCAGAGATTTCTTAATCCTTATATGTCAAAGGACCACCCAGAAGGAAGCAAACACACCGCCTTATTGCTCTATGAGTTACCGTCCTTCTCCTTCTACAAAGGAAATCCCGGATGACGGATGGAGAGTGTATCCAAGGACAAGGCCCTAAGATGAGCCTCTTACCATGTTCCAGATTCACACGAAAGGTGACTACTCATCAAGTCTTACTAGTAGGGAGTGGCAGGGTCTCTGACCTCACAATCAGTGGTAGATCCCAAGGCTGGATGGGAAATTCCTTGTGGTTACTTTTCTCAGAGCTCCCTTCACATCCTTGTTCCTCAGGCTGTAGATGAGGGGATTGAGCATGGGGGTCACCACTGCATAGAAAACAGACACTATCTTTTCCTGCTGCTTGGAAGACTTTGGTGTCATGTAGGTGATAATTGCTGATCCATAAAAAAGGATGACCACCATGAGGTGGGAGCCACAGGTAGAGAATGCCTTGAGCCTCCCAGCAGCTGACTTCATCCTGACCACAGTCACTATAACAAGGCCATAGGATACCAAAATTAGGGAAACCGGTATGAGGAGGAACACGACGCCCACTAGAAAAATGGCCATTTCTGAAGCATGGGTATCAGTGGATGCCAGGACCAACAGTGCAGGGGCCTCACAAAAGAAATGAGCAATGCTATTGCTGCCTCGGTAGGGTAGCCTTAATGTGAAGGTGGTGTCCACAACAGACACCAGAATGCCACTGGTCCATGAGCCTGTGGCCAGTTGGACACACACCCTCAAGGTCATGATGTTAGAGTAATGCAAAGGATTGCAGATGGCCACATAGCGATCACAGGACATCACTGCTAGAAGGGCACACTGTGTACCCCCAAAAATGAGGAAGAGTAGAAGCTGAGCTGCACAACGTATGAATGAAATGGCCTTCTTCCTGGATAGCAGGTGAACGAGGGCCTGAGGAACGATGTTGGTAGAGAAACAGAGGTCAGCCAGAGACAAATTGCAGAGAAAAAAATACATGGGTGTGTGAAGTCGGGGGTCAACCTGAACAAGGGACATCAGAAGCAGATTTCCAAGCACAGTGACCAGGTAGACACCCAGGAATAAGGCAAACATCAGTTTCTGGATATATGGGTCATCAGAGAGTCCCAGGAGGAAGAATTCAGTCACCTGTGTCTGGTTTGTCTTTCTCATAGTTTGTCTCTGTTCACTATATGCTAAACAACGGCATGCTTGGCCTACAAAATTATATAAATCAGAGTGAGAAGGCTCAGGGTTTGCCCCCAATCACTATCAACCATTTCTAGAATCCCCTTTATAAGGTCCTTAGCAGTAATCATGCTCCTTTAGTTGGAACATTTCCAGAACTGCAAAACTCAGCACTTTATAAGATGTTGCATTCCACTGTTGGTGTAATCTGTCAAGAGGAGAGTAGAGCAAACTAATCGTATTTATTCTGCATTTCACACTTCTGATAATATAACAATAGATTGAATTCATTGGTAAGATCATGCTATTTAATCTCAGTTTATTATTAACTAAAACCACTGTCTCTTAAGCTGCTCTTACCACATGGCTCTCATCACATGATTGTGTGGGGTTTTGTTTGTTTGTTTTTGCTTTTTGATAATACTTCGGACATACAACTGTTCATGATGTCTCTTTTCGGAAAAGATAGTTACAGATATATATGAGATGAATGACAGCCAAAGTACCTTGTAGACCTGTTACTCAGAGAAAGTAATCTATCTTAAAGAAGCTGAGGAACCAAGTAGTAACTACATATTATGGATAATCTCTTCGGCAATCCTAGCTCCAGCTCAAATGCTCTGTTAATTTCATGAATGAGCTTCCAAAACAGCAAATGCACCATCACAACAGGATTTCCATTTAAATCACCAGCTTAAGTAGCTTCTTACTCACCCCAAACTCAGCACTATTCCCCCACCTCCAGTCCATCATCATCTTACATTGCCTTGCATTATTTAGTACTTCCAGAGATTAAAAACTCTTTTGAAAACTGTCTGTGTTTTTTCTCTTTCTTTTTTTTATTTCAGGAATATCAGGTAAAACAAAAACATTCTTCTATCAAGTCATATAAACATAATGGGTACACTAACAGTACCATTACATCCGGTTAAGAGGCGGGTGTTGATTTTGATTCAATTTTAGTAAAATAAAAACCAGTGTCACCAATCTCTAAAATCTTTTAAGTGGTAAAAGGCTCTTTCATAATCTCCAAAGGAACTCTATTCCTCCTCACTCTTCTTTCTTCCTATTTTGTTTTCCTGTACTCCCTGTTTCGAATAAAATATACTATTTAATTTTTAAATGTTTATCATCCATATTTCAAATATGTATCAATATATACATATTCAGTGACAAAAGAAAAATTGGACATGATCAAAATTAAAAAATTTTGTTCTTCAAAGGACATCATTTAGAAAGTGAAAAGACAATCCACAGAATGGGAGAAAAATTTTGCAAGTTATATATCTGATAAAAGACTTTTATCTAGAATACATAAAAAACTCTTTCAACTTAATAATAAAATCACAAACAAACTAATTTAAAATGGGTAAATAATCTGAATAGATATTTTTCCAAAGAACTTATGCAAATGGCCAATAAGCACATGAAAAGATGTTCAGTATCATTAAACCAAACCAAACCCATTATCCTCGAGTCGATTCCGACTCACAGCAACTCTGTAGTAGAGAGTGGATCTACCCCATAGGGTTTCAAGGTTATTAAAGAAAAAAAATCTCTGCTGTAGAGTCAATTCTGAATCATAGCAACCCTACAGGATAAGTAGAACTGACTCATAGGGTTTACAAGGAGCGGCTGGTGAACTCACACTGCCAACCCTTTGGTTAGCAGGTGTAGCTCTTAACCACTGCGCCCACAGGGCTCCTCAATGTCATTAAACCTGTTGCTGTCAAGTCGATTCTGACTATGGAAATGCAAATCAAAATCACAATGAGATACCACTTGGATGTCTATAATCAAAATCAAAAAATAACAAGCTTTGGTGAGGATGTGTAGAAACTGGATCCCTCATACATTGTTGGGAAAACCATCTGGAAGTTCCTCAAAAAGTTAAACACGGAGTCCATATGAGTCAGCAATTCTACTACCAGGTATTACCCAAGAGAACTGAAAACGTATGTCTGCACAAAAAAAGTGTACACAAATGTTCATAGCAGCGTTATTCATAATAGCCAAAATGAAGAAACAACCAAAACAAAAAAACAAAATGTCCACCAACTGATGAACATATAAAGAAAATGTAACATAGCCATAGAATGGAGTATTACTCAGCCATAAAAAAGAAAATGAATTACTGATACATGCTACAACATGAATGAACCCTGAATACATTATACTAAGGGAAAGAAGTCAGTAACAAAGAACCACATATTGAATGAACCCATTTATGTGAAATATCCACAACAGGCGAATATGTAGTGGCATAAAGTAGATTAGTGGTTGCCTAGGGGTGGGTGGAGGTATTGGGGGTTGACAGCTAAAGGATACACGGTTTCTTTCTGGAGGAGTGATGAAAATGTTCTAAAATTGATCATGGTGATTATTGCACAACTCTGCAAATACACTAAAAGCCACTGAATTATGCTCTTTAGGTGGATAAACCGTATGGTATGTGGATTCTAACTAAATAACTGTTGTTAAGAATAGCTAAGGGGGACTTCCGGCAAGATGGTGCTCTAGGCAGAAACACCACGCCATCCCTCCACAACAAAGATCCGAAAAACTAAGCCAAACAGAGAATCAACAATCCTGAAACCCTAGAACATCAAATGAAGAGAT